GTGGCAGGTCTAGGCAGTTGCCCAGTGCCTGCAGCAAATATGGCAGCCTTCTCGACTACCATTGCAGAAAAATGTTTATCTAGGGTCTTGCTTTTGCTCCCATCTCGAGAGACTACAGCCTGCTGCAAGTTGAATCTCAGAGCAAGGAAGGAAACCATTTACCCACACATGACAGGGAGACTGCTGCTTACTGGGTAGTGTATTTGCATTTTTAAGAGACAAGGCTCATTGAATCAAATGAATCAAAGTTGAAAGCTTCAGACTGATGGGAGTGGGGAAGAGATTTCATCCATCATGTATTATATATAACCCTTTTGGTATTTTTATTTTGTTTGTGCCAGAATATTCTTTTTCTTTGCTCTTTACCGTTTTGAGGCCTTTTTCTCTGAGCTGGATAATCTTCCATCCATAGAGTGTTGCAGCTTGCATTTCGTGTCATCACATTTGATAAGAGCACAACAGCAGGGCTAGGAATTTCTGCATGTCCATCTTTTCTAAGTTGAAAGTTTTCAAGAACTCCATGTAGGTTTGAATGTCCACTAAACTTTTATACTATGCTTTTTTCTCGCTTTTCTAAGTATTCTTCTTGATGTTACTTTCTACTCTGTTGATATCTGTGTGCCAGTCGTGCCACCTCAATAAATTTAGAGAATTTTTTTTTAGACAGAATCTTGTCAATCTGCTGAATTGTTCAGGCTGGGCTCATACTCCAAATTCTTCTTCCTCAGCCTCCCAGAGTGCCGGAATTACAGCGTGGACCACCATGCAGGGCTAATCAAAACCAAGGTGTTTGTTCCATTGTACTTCTCTTTGGTGTTTAGCAGGTTGCTAAGAACATAAGTTAATGTGTTCCTCCCATAACTGATTCCTATCAATAGGTAGATAGGTTCAGGAGTTTGTTTTATTTTGTTTTGCCTTGTGCTATTATAAAACATTTCTAGGCAGAGGAAATTCGGAATTGCTATGTGAAGAGATGATATATTAATTAGAGTATAGTAATCATTTTATAACATGAGGTGTGATTAAAAGATAACGGTGAATGTTTAAATTTTGAAAATTTATTCCAGTAAAAGGCACGTTTCCATTAATCACTCAGAATATTCTTCCTCACTGTGAACACACAAACCTTCCTTCTTGCCACTTTCCAAAGCTGCTCTGGAAGTCCTCCCTTGGGAGTGTCTTTAGTTGTACTGTCATGGCTGCTTCAGTGTCCTGAATCAGTTCAAAGCTTTTACCTTTCAAGGTCATTTTGACTTTGGGGAAGAGCCAGAAGTCACATGGTACCAGATTTGGCAGGTAAGGTGCATGTGAATGCACTGTAATGTTTTCATAAGATTGCTGCTTCTTTAGGTGACAGAGGGAACAGCATTCACCATATTTTTTATCACATCTTGAAAGATAGAAATTCCACAACAGTGTCAGAAAGTAGCAACAATAAGGGGATAAGTGTGTTCAAAGCAAGGGGAAGGGTTTTGGCAGGGGTTAATGGCAGTGTCTCTTTTACTGAAATAAATTTTATTTATTTGTTCAGCTTTTTGAGACAGGATCTTGCTTTGAATTCAGGCTGGTCTTAAACTCACTAGGTAGCCTAAGCTTTTAGTGGTTGATACTATGCAGCCTTTTCCTGCTTTAACATGAGTTCCCTTATAAATTGTTTAAATATGTAAACCTCATTAAATTTTTGTGTGTGTATCTTTTTCTAAGACCGAGTATTGCTATGCAGTTTAGGCTGGCCTCGAGCTCCCTTTGTAGCCCAGGCTGGTTTTGCATTTGCAAAGATCCTCCTGCCTCAGTCTACAGAGTGCTAGGAGTGCAGACGAATAGACATGTGCTACACACCCAGCTTCAACTCATTAACTTTTGAGTTAGTACTGCTTAATCACAGTGGCCAGTTTTTTGGAAAGTTTTTTAGAACTGTTAGTATTATTTCTGTTACTTGTACTATTTTTTCATTACAGGAAGGAATAATATAGATGAATAAGCACACTGAGTGTTAAGTGATTATGAAACACTTTATTTTCTTCTTCAAAATAATAAATACTGCTTACTGGGACAGAGACTTGCATATCTTATTCTCGGTTGGTATTGTATATTGTATTCTTTTTTTTTTTTTTTTTTTTTTTTTTTGGTCTTTTTCCTTTTCATTGGTACCAGGGATCGAACTCACAACTGCCTGCTTGCAAGGCAGGCATTTATGCCGCTGAGCTAAATCTCCAGCCCCTTATATTGTATTCTTGATATAGATGATTTTAGAACCTTTTATAGATGATGATTTGGAGGAACTTTTGGGACAAGAGCACCCTTCACTCCTGGGGTCTATCTTTAGGGTTTGCTTGCACCTGCAGTACTCAGGATCTCTTCGTAGTGGGTGGAAACTCCTGCAGTGAGATTTCAAATTTCTCTTCAGTTAGGTTTGGCATGTTTTATTCCATGGTGGCATTCCTTGCGGTGTATCTTTCCATGTTGAGACATCGGGAATATTATCGACTTGCTGGTCTCTGTGGACTGGGGCACTGTGAAAAGAAACGGGTGACAGTTGAGGTTTGGGGAGCATCGCTGATAGGAGCCAGGGCGCGCGGGAGGAAAGGCTGCTGTGGGGAAGTCACATACATTGGCTCAGAGAATCATGAAGCATCAAACTGGATCGCTAGGATGGATACTCGAGAGAAGGAAAGGGAAGCCCTCATGAGTAAAGGAATTATTACAGGCTTTTTTACAAATGTAACTGTGAGATAAACAGTATCTCAATCTTCACAACTAAATTAAAGATGAGAGAATTTAGGTTACCTGTGGCAGTGACTGAACCGGCAAGTAGACGATCTGGAGTTAGACCCAAGGTCTTGCTGATTCTGCAAACACGTTTCTTTACATCATTGTAAATGCATGTGAAACTGCAGTAAGCAAGGATAAGTCACAGAAAAATGAGTAAGTTTCACGGGATACAAGCTTACAGAGCCTTTTAAGTACTCTTGATTTCTGCATGTTCTGCCAGGGATTAGGTAGCAGTGTGTTTTAAAACCAGTTCTTTGATTGCTCCCTGTTAGGATACAGTATTGGATGACTTCCTAAGACAATGAGGTTGTCACAACACATTGCCTAATGCTTGTATTTTAAAACAGCATAATTATCTGTGAAACAGATACCACTGGAAGTAAATAATCTGTTTCAAGATTTTAAAATTTCATAATCCAGTGACTGTGTCTTTCAGTAGTTAACTACTAGTTGGCCACGGTGGCACAGGCTCCTAATCCCAGCACCTAGGGGGACTGAGGTAGGAAAGTCACAAGTTGGAATTTATTTGGGCAATTTAGCAAGACTGACTTGGAATTTTTAAAAAGCGCTGGGGTGTAACTCAGTGGCAGAATGCTTGTCTAGTATTGTAATACTTGGGTTCGATCCCCAGTATCACACCCCCTCAAAAGAAAGTTTGAAACTGTGACAGCCCTCCGCATTTACTTTTTATTAACAGTGCTGAGGATCAAACCAAGGTCCCTACACATGTGACACAGGCACTGTAGCCCTGAGCTTTACCCCCAACCCCCTCTTTGAATTAAGGAAAAGATGTAGAGTTTTAGAGTACAAAAAGTTATAAATCTTATCGATCACGGTAAATTGTGAAAATATTCATCTCCTAACTTACTGTGTGTTCAGAGGCCACTCTGGTTACCATCCCTTACCATGATCATTATACCAAAGCTTGAAGATATTTAAGTCAGAATAGTAGGTGGGATTTTTTTTTCCTCTGAAGTTAGCAGCATCTCTGAATTTTACAAATCATTACTAATCACTAAGTGTTTAGTTTCTTTTGCTAAGCATTGTGCTTCTAGGTTGTAGAGAGAAAACATTTCCTCACCCATGTCATCTCTTTATATCCTGTGTACTGTAGCAGTTATTAATTAATGTTGCATTTGAGGTTGTTTTTGTTTTGAGACAGGACCTCACTGTAATTTAGGCTGGCTTTGAGCTTTGTGTTAACCTAGACTGGCTTCAAAGCCATGACCCTCCGGACTCGGTTTCTCCATTGCTGGAACTGTAAGCCTGTGCCACCATGTCCAGCCAGTGGTTGATTTTTTTTTGTGACTTACTCCCTGTGAAGGCTACCTATGCATCAGAGTGCTGTGTTCCCGTCTCCCTTTCCAGTGCACTCAGGACAGGCAAAGACTGAAGCAGTGGGTCCGCTTTTATTCTGTGCCTTGCTTTGGTGGCTCGTTTCTCCTCCTGGGCTGCCCGTCTCTTTTAAATATGACAGTGGGGTGAGAAGAGCAGCCAAGGATGTCTTTATATGATCCCGCAGATGGTGTCAAGAATTATGACCACGTGGAAAATTAAAAACCAAGTTTGGTGGAAACATACCATGTCATATAACTTACAAGCCCAAGGGGGGTGGTGTATATGATGTCTTTATGTGCCTTGTTAGGTGATACAGTACGTGTCTTAATATAGAGATATAATTTTTATTAATAAATATAAATTAGAGAAACGTTCTTTCATGTCAACAGAAATTTTAAATATAGGCAAATACTGAAATTTTCTAATTTCTTTTGACATTTACCAAGAAATTTCTTCAAACATGCTTGATTTCCACAAGACTTTGATAATTGAACTAAATGTTACATTGGCTTCTTCAGTTTCCCTAAGCAGAATTAGTCTCCTATTTCTTTACAATGGTAGGGTGTGTGTGTAGTGCCTAGTAAGTGCAAATGAGTGAGCAGAAAGCCAGGGCTGGAGCTGTGACTTGGGTTTCTGGAGTTTCCTTCCTCTTCTCTTACCAACCTATCGTGGATGTTAACTGTCTTTCAATTCGTTGTCAGACTGCATCTCTCTTCCTGTGCAGATGTTGGTGCAGATTCATTGCATCATTCTTGGTGTATGTATTTATAGTTCTGTGGTCAGTGAAATGTCAGAGTGCTGTCAATCTATATAATATTCAGAGAATAGTTGAGCACTTTGATAAAGACTTGATATATGTCATTAATTTTTTTTTCTTTTCTTTCATCTAGTTGCTGATCATCTGGGTTGTGATCCTCAAACTCGGTTCTTTGTTCCTCCTAATATCAAACAGTGGATTGCCTTGCTGCAGAGGGGAAATTGCACATTTAAAGAGAAAATATCACGGGCTGCTTTCCACAATGCAGTTGCCGTAGTCATCTACAATAATAAATCCAAAGAGGAGCCAGTCACGATGACTCACCCAGGTAAAGAATAAAAGGGGCTTATAGATTTTGTTTTTCTCCTTGGAAATTATTACTTTAAAGGCAGACATTCTACTTCTGGTATAATCAAATAACTTTCAGTATAATTCTATGATTATATTTATTTTTGGTATTGCCATTTGTTTGTCAAGATACATGTCATTTTTCTTTGGTTGATTTTTGTCTTAAATAATGACAAAAATAGTCTGTAAAACTTGGATTTATTAAGTGACTGGCTGTGATCGTATCCTTAGTTGTTTTCCATTTCTACATTTTCTCTATAACTTTGAGAGATAATGTATTTGATTTGAAATCATTCACCCAGATTACTTCATGGAATCTCAAGGATTACCTGTCTGGGAAGTATTCTTTCAGTAGGGTAATTGTTGAAACTACTTACTGATTAGTGTACCTGCAATAGTAACAATGTTTGTTAATTTCTTGTAGAAATACTTAGTGTATTTCTAATGTAATCATTTTTATAACAGTAGTTATAACTTACTGAGCACTTACTATATATATATATACACACACACACACACACTCTAATTCCAGCACTTGGAAGACTGAGGCAGGAGGATCCTTGTGAGTTGAGGGCTGGGTTTATTTTAGCTCACAGTTTGTTGTTAGTTTCAGTCTGTAGAGAGCTGGCTCCAAGGCCAGGCAGCATGGCAGAGGTGGCAGGGCAGAGAGAAGGCAGCAGTCTTCCTTCTTCCCTTCTTGGTCACCCAGGCTGCAAGCCTATTGGCTGGTGCCATCCACTCTCAAGGTGAGTCTTCCCTCCTGAGTAAATCCATTAGCCACACTCAGAATTTTGCCTGACCAGTCAGTGGGCTAATCCAGGTCACACGCTCATGAGCCAGGACCTCGCACCCGTGCCCCAGCATCACAGCCATGATCCAGTCACTCCCAAAGCCCCACCTGTGAGCACATGAGGCTTTTGGAGGACACCTAGAGAGAAGACGTAACACTTTCCTTGGTGTAGGTATTCTCCCTGTCTTAAGGACCAGGGACCAAACCAGGTAAGGACACATACAAGATTGCTCAAACCCAAGTTTGCTAATACTCAGTTCAGTTTACCAGCCCATCTCTTAAAGTTGAAACCTAAAGTTCAGTTTTGCATTCATAAAAATTTATGTCTTATTTAAAGAATTAACTTTTTTTCTGTATTTGCATGTGCGTGTGTGTGTGTGTGTGTGTGTGTGTGTGTGAGAGAGAGAGAGAGAAAGAGAGAGAGAGAGAGAGAGAGAGAGAGAGAGCGGGTTTCAGCATGTCTAGGCTGGCCTTAAATTTGCCAAGGCTGGCCTGGAACTCAGTGATCCTCCTGCCTCAGCCTCCCACGTGTTGGTATTACAGGCATGTGCCACTACAGCCAGCCTAACTTTTTCTATCTTGATAGACTAATGCAAATGGATTTATTTTTATTCTGTGGCTGGTTTTGTTTTAAACTAAAACTGTATTTTTCCTCATTACAAAAGAAAACATAAGCCTATTATATAAAAACTGAAAGTTAAAAAGAATAAAACCGAAGGTGTGAAAAAAGTTTTAATCCCCGGAAGTTAGTGGACTCCTGTGACTTAATTTCTTTATGAAAACCAAAAGGAATTAAAGAGGCATCTAATTGGGCTGCATCTCTGTGTGGAAAACTGGTTTCAAAATGGTAGTTCTTCTGCTGCCATCTCATTTTTTTTTTCACCTTTGTCTTAGTGGGAAGAAAACATATTTGAAACTTTGGACCCTAAGGTAGCTTATTCTCATGCCATGTTAATTTCTTCTTTACTAAAAACAGGAAGAAAAATGAGCAAGGAGAAACTCGGCTGAGCAAAATGTGTTTCTCTTTTCCAGTGATGTTACTTTATGCACACAAACCACAGAAAAGTACCTAGAAAAAGAATCTTTTAATAAAAGTGTAGGAAGATCTGGGGATAAGAAGAGAAGAATTGAAATTTTTTTTAAATTTATTTTTGTTTGCAGTGGGAAGGGTGTCTGTAGTTAATGTAGAATTCCCATCTTTATTCCTTAAAACAGTTTACTTAGATATATTTATTGATGACCTATAGAAATGGGACAGATAAAGTTTTGGAAAATGCTTGAAATGTTTGCTATTTATAGAGACACCTAGTGCTTATTAACATGTTAAGATATCCAAGAAGTCTTAAAGAACCTGTTTTATTTTGATTAATCTAATGCTTCCTGAATTTGTTCGACCATGAAGTTCTTTTATCACAGCTTAACATGTAACAACAAAAATAAATTTAGTAATAGAGTTTAATATTCATAGGAAAATGGCCTTCGTGAATGGAAGTGTGCCTAAGGGCAGTGATTAGATTTTTATATTGTGATAAGATATAGTCAGAATATATAAAGAAATAATATACATCAATAATAGACCTAATTTTACTTTTTATGTACAATGTGGTACTAGGGGTTGAACCCAGCACCTCGCATGTGCTTGACTACATTCCAGCCCTCTTTAAATTTTTATTTTTATTCTTATTCTTTATTTTTATTTTTATTTTGACAGAGGGTCTTGTTAAACTACCCCAAATGACCTCAAACTTGTGATCCCCCCCCTTAGCCTCCTAAATAGCTGAGGTTACTGACATGTGCCATGTGCTCCACTTAAGTGCGTAAAGGATTAAATGATTAGATGTTTAATTAATCATTAGAAAAATGGGCTGGGGATTTAGCTCAGCAGCCTAAGCACCTGCCTGGCAAGTGTGAGGTCATGAGTTCGATCCCTGGGTACCACAAAAAAAAAATTATTAGAAAAATGCCATCGAACAACACTGTACCATTTCACATCCTCTAGGATGACTGAATAAAAAGCTGGATAATAACAATCTTTTTAATATCAGGTTTTGTTGAGTGCATGGAGAAACTGGAACCCTCATTTCTATTCCCTAGCTTTCTGCTCTTCTGTTTCTTCATATTTGAGACAAAATGTTGAGACACTAACAACTCCTTGTATTCCAGCTTGGTGTCTCTGAGTTGAGTTTTTGTCTTACCTTTCTGTTTGCAAGTGATCCACAGAGAGCCTTGTATAAAGTAATTGAATTGCCTTTTTAAAAATTTCTTTACCTTAAGGAGAGGAAAACAATAAAAACGACACAAAAGTTCAAAATAAGAGAAAATTAACAATGATGAATATATTGCATATTGCTGTCTTCAAAGTAATTGCTCATAAGATATAAGTATGCAAAATTGATCAAATAATATAAGCACAAACCATTCTTTTCAGTGAGCTAATAGAAATTAGTAGTGTAATTATCTTAGCTATCTTGCATCTCTATTATTCTTTTCCCTTTATTTTCTCCTTTCTCCCATCCAGCTGTTCTTTCCTTTTGAGCAGTTTCTTTCCCTTTCACAATATCCATGGTACATTTTGGATATTATTTATTCTTTTAGTTTACACTATGGATTCAATACAATGTTTAAACATGTGAGTCTGATTTATTTCACTTATGAGTTGCATCCATTTATCTGTAAAAGCCTTGAGTTTATCCTTCTTTATGGCTGAGTAGTACTCCATTGTATAAAAATACCACATCTTTTTTATCCATTCCTTGGTTGATGGACATTTGGGTTGTTTCCAAGATTGAACTATTACAAATTGTGCTGCTATGTACATGGATACACCATATATCACTGTGGTGTATGGTACTTTTAATTATTCTGGGAAAATATCCACAAGGGGAATAGTAGGGTTGAATGGGACCTCTTAGTTCTAGTTTTCTAAGAATCTCCACACTGATGTACACAGTAGTTCTACCAGTCTGCACTCCCACTAACCGCAAAGAAGGGCTCATTTTCCCCCACAGCATCCCAGCGTTTATTATTGGCTGATTTCTTGACAGTAGCCATTCTTTCTGTGGCAGGATAGAATCTCAGTTGCTTTGCTCAGTTCAGTGATGTTGAACATTTTCATGTATTCATTTGCCATCTGTGTGTTTGGATTGGGCCTTTGACTTTGGGGGGCTCTGCTTTTTTTAGTTCTTTATATGTTCTAGATTTAAATCCTTTATTATCAAAGGACAGTTGGCTAATATTTTTTCTCACGCAGTGGGGTTTTTTTCCCTTTGTTATTCATTTCTTTTGATGTGCAAAAACTTTTTTAATATGATGAGGTAGCAGTTGCTTTCATTCAATTAAGATAATTTTATTATCTAGCTTGCTGTTTAAAGATAACTGCACATTGCCAAGTAGAAGTACTGCACTGGGTCTCATTGCCTTGTCAGCCACGCCTCAAGAGCTTGCAGTGCTTGTTTCAGCAGTGCCCTTCCTCTGGTGCCTGAAGGACATTTCCCAGCTCAGGTCCATGATATCACTGACGGGAAGCACTGCTCAATATGTGGTTTCACTTGTTACCTCTCGTTAGCAGAATGTGTTCTTTGTCATGAAGCTAGCGGATGTGTGGTAGTATAAAGGGGAAGTTAGGGGCTCTTAGATACTTTAAAATAATGCACAATTGTCTGTAAATTAAGGATCTGTTTTCCTGGTTTTTAAAAATTTATATAGACTTCGTTGTTACTGTCTAGTCGTCTTAGGTACTGTCACACCATTATCTCAACAGAAGCCGCTGTGTAGACTTACGTGCATGTCTTCAAAAATATGTGAAAATTGTCAACCAAATAATGTTTTTAATCTTTGTCGATCAGTAATGTCAAGTCAATATCAGGTGTATTGTCTTTTGGGTGGTTAAGCAGAATCAGTTAAATAGTTCTTTACTTTTTTCCATCATATTTTATTTAAAAGCTTACTTAGCTCTATACTTATGTATCAGTGACTAGAAAATATAATTTGTCAAATGCACAAAATTTACTTTAAATGTAAAAACTATACTTTATGAAAATGAATAAAAATTCAGAAACATTGCACAATACCTTTGAACACCAATAACTTGGACCACTTAGTATAAATCTCTTACTGTAAAAACCCATCAAGAAAATGAAGAATAGACTGTTATTGCTTTCCAATGTAAGGTTTTTGAGCTTATAGTTGAT